TCTAGGCACAGAACACGCACCACTGAGTACATCCCAGCCATCACAAGGGAGGAAAAAACAAATGAGGATTTTCTCTCTGTCTTTTTGTCCAGAGTCAGCACAGAGCCTGGACTAGGGCTAGAACTGCCTTACATGAAAAGGGGGAATAAAAAAAGGGCTGTCAAGGGAGACTCGCATATGAATGAAAACACAACACTCTCTTTGCTGCCCCTCCAGAAAGTGTACCAACATCATGTACATAAAGATACTTTATTTACCACTTCTGTAACCATTAGAGCTACTTTGCCATGTGCAAGCAGCAAACCCCAAGAGACCAGATTGTTGAATTACTTGAAGTATGCTCTTTTTTCCTATATCTCGTTTTTTACTCAGCATTTCTGCACCTAATTCATGCCAACTCATTTGCTGCATAAGCACACTGTACTAATTCCTCAGAAGCCCTTCATTTCTTCTTCTTTTTTTTTTTTTTTTTTTTTCCTTTTCCTCCAAGTATCCTATTAAAAATAAAACTAAATTGACATCATTGCAGAGATAGCATAAGCTTTGGTTTGCCCTGAACTTTACGAATCTACAAGCAGTACCAATAGAAGAAACCTGTTGCTGAAATAACCAAAATAGAGTTAATGGTTCACAAGCAAGCACCCAGTGAGGTATTTAAAGGAGAAATGCACAGAGAGTGGATTCACAGCCAAAAGGCAAAATACACAGTGACTCACTCAGCAAACAAGAAGGCACGGAGCAAAGTGAGTGCACGCACAAGAGCAGAATGCTCAGCACTGATTTCTCAGCTGCATGGACATGATCAACTGGGAACAGTGGGCTGTGCTGGAGAAAGCCTCTGTAAATACCATTGCAGAGGCATTTAAAATATGCAATTAAGAAAATCCCAACTAAATTGAATGGGTGTCTATGACAGGCACCAGATCACCTTGAGAGTGAATCCTGCTGGTTGTGTATTCACCCACCAGTACAGCCCATACCCTGCTGGGAAGGACACACTGGGGCTGACAGAGGCATAAGGACTGTGCTCAGCTCTCTGTCACTGTGCTGACACCAACACCTGGGCTCCTCCCTGGGCTAAGCACCATTTGGATCCACTATGAGACCTCTCAGACCTCTCCGGGATGCAAACAGGCAAGTAGGGGATGTGCTGCAGATCTGCGCTTTGCTTTGAACCAAGCTCAGACCACATGGAGCTCTGGCCATTTGAACATGGTGAGGTTTCTGAAAATAGGCTGGGCAAGCTGGAACCAGCAGCCCTCAGTGTGCCCTCTTCTAGAGCTGGGCTGCTTTGCAGGCCAGCACTGCAGCTAGCAGGTGCTACACAGTCACAGAGCTGGTAGCTTTATCCAGGCAGCTCCTTCCTAGCACTGTCCACACCATTATTTCCATGCTCGTGTGCACCAACATTCCCCTGTTTATTTGGCAGAATAACTATCCTCCCAAGCAAACACTACCCAAAATTTAAGAGGGAGCGCTCACTCTTAATTAGGATTGTTGACACCAGTTTTCTGCCCCTAGACTAAGCACTTATTCTGTTCTTTAATGAAGTTTGTCACTGTGGGAGCTCCTGAGCCAGTTCCCCTATGGCTGCAGCGTGGGAGCCTATCTTGCACACAAACCTCTTCCTGTTGCAGGCTGCACTTATCACTCACGTACCGATAAATCCCAGTGTCTCACACATGTCAGCTATCAGGAATTCATTATTTAGTCTGTGTTATGTTACACCAGGCAGGAGTTATCTTTGCAGCCCACAGGCCAGAATCAAAACCGAATGTGTCAGCTATTTAAAGAAAATGGAAGCCCTCCTCCAGCAACTTCATTAACCTCCAGGGAGCAGGGCTGGGTTTCAGGCCTGGAAGTGTTGCTGTGGAAAACACGGTTCAAAATTATCAGAAAAACATTGTTTAAAAGCTACTTGCTCAATTCATTTTCATTTGATGTTAATAGACTTTTTTTTTCCTCCCCCCTCTGACACTAGAATAGCAGTGCAGCATTTTTAGGATTGTCAGTAACACTGGTTATAAACTCTATTATCAAGCTACAAAGGAATACTGTATTCTATTACTATTTCTGAGGGCAAACAGTCCGTAAACTAAGCATAAGTGAATCATTTATTTCTCAAAGAGACAAGACTTCATATTACAGAGCATTAACATGGCAAATAATCACCAGCCTGATCTGGCAACTGTGCTGGTTAGGTCTCTTGCAATCTAAAATTCCTAAAATAAATAACAAGCAGCTTTTTATTTTCCCTCTCAAAAATTCAAACATGTCAGAAGCTGCAACTTGAATTTCATTCTCTTAAAAATCCTCAAAGCTTAAAATTCCAAGATTTTTTTAAAAATCAGAGAATCATTTGAACTGGGAGGGACTGTTAAAGGCCATCTGGTCCAACCCCCAACAAGGAACAGGGACTCTGAAGCTTGATCTGGCCACCTTGGAGAAACCAGAGCGACCCCAGAAGATGTGCACTGGGCATGCCACAGGTGGCATTCTGAAGTCTGTACTGAACAGGACATAAAGCTTTTTTTTTTTTTTTTAATCAATGTCTTCAAAGCTAACATCTTTTCCAAGTGGGACTGGTGCATCTTGTGTCATTCAATGCCAAAGCACACGTCCCTGTCCCAAGAAGACCCACTGCATGTCACCTGCAAGGGCTGAGCCCTGGGATGCTCACACTGTCAGTGCCACTTGGCTGTGGGGTGACACCCATAGAAGCCAGTGGCTGTTACTGTCTCCAAGTGCCCACATGTCAGGTTTGCTCGCTGAAAATGAACAGATTTCCAAGGAATGCGCTCACTCACTGAGCACGAGAAGAGGGCGGGCAGCCTGTGGGAGATTACTGTGCTCTTCCTGCAAAGCCTTATCTGAGGAAGGGGTTACCGCAGAGCTGTGGGAGTTTATGGTGCCCTGGTACTGGCCTGCATATTCCCACCTGGAGCCAGCGAGAGAGATGTGCCCCCAACAAAAGCTCCTCATGAGGCAGGCAGAGATCACCAGCGCTGTCCAGACTGGCCCATTTTTAACTGACAGAGAGGTAATCTCCAGGACTTGAGGCAATTCTGCACTAATCCTACATTAAAAAAATTAATCACGGCATTCTCACGTAAGCAGAAATGGTGCAAGATCCACATTCCAGAAAGTGATTCAAAATGGAATTGCCAAACGATAGGCAACACTGAGCACTTCAACCCCAGGCACCATAATGGGAGGCAGCCTCTGCGCAGAGAGCAGAAAGGCTGCAGGATGGCGCTGGTGGGTTTGCTGGGCCATCAGCCACTCGGCATCTTCACAACACACTGGTAATGAAGCCAGCACTTTAACATCGGTGGTCCAAATGACACTTGCGCTATGTAAAATCAAATTCCTTCACTCTGATGTGTGGGACAGCTGGCCATGATCATTTGATATGGAGGCGTAACTTTTTTTTTTTTAATACAGCGAAAGCAATTGCTGCAGCTTAGGATCTTTTGCAAAAGGCAACTGTTTGGAGAAGGAAATCAATCTTGTAGCACACCTCTTGCCTCCCATGTTCTTTAAATACTTTGGAAGGTAACAACAGGCGGTCCACGCCTTCCAACCTGTCTGATGAGGCATGCAAAATAACCACGTACACAGTTCTTGCGCTTGTGAAGCAATACTTACAAACCTATTTATTGCAAACGATAAGGAGTCAGAACTAAGTTCAAACTGCACAAGGGAGGTTTTAACTACAAAGGCAGTTTTAAACCTTAAACCTCTTTTCCTGAGGGCTTGTACCAGGCTAAGAGAGCCTATGCCACCAGGGCTGCAACTAAGCAAGTTGCTTCTAGTCAAGTGAGCTGTGTGATGTGAGTTCCCTGGTTATCTGCCCTTACATTGAGGGATGCTGCAGGAAATCAGGCAAGATGAGCAGTCTCATTGGGGTGAAGGGCAGCACATTGTGGCTATAAGCAATATCCTGTGGGTCACAAAGCCGGTCTGCACTGTGAATAGGAACAGAAGTATCTGTACAAGCAGCCCATCCAGCTGATCTTAGTCACAAGGGCATCTCTTCCTCTTTGCAGGCGTGACAGCACACCAACAAAAAGCAAAGAGGTCTGTGATGAGCTTTACAAAGCGTGCCCTTCCACACAAGGGGGAATGGCACGAGGGCCAGAACAGAGCTGGCACTGACGCTGTGCACTGGAAGAGCAGCAGAGAATACCTCTGCTGGGGGTTTTGGCATCAGGCACAACTCATATCCTGCATTTAGGAGGTAGCCCCTCACTGGACATTTTCCAAATGTGTCTGTTGCAGCAGGAAAGCTGCTGCAGCAAGAGCATAACATCCTACTGCATGGAAACTCAGCAAATGGTAAAACATTAACGCGACCAATGCCAACCTTTTGAATTTGTTTGCTCAGCAGGCCGTTCCTAATTGAAGGTCCTTTCCCTGGGCTCCAAGAGCTCTGAGTGCAACCTCAGCTCCCCCCACAGCTCTCAGTGCTGCTATCCAAACCAGTGCACGGAGGCGACCAGGCAGAAAGAAATTTCCAAGGGCAAACACTCTCTTCGTGTGCAGCCCCAGTGCAGCACACAGCTCAGCACAAGTGCTGGGTCAGGTGTGGGCTGAGGGAGGCCTGGGGGCAGCTGCAGAAGAAAGAGGCTCATTGACCTCAGGCAGGCAGCTGGCAGCTCCATGTCCCCCACAAGTGCTGTGGGTGGGCACGGTCTGCAGCACCAAGCATGGGCTGGCTGAGAGCAAAGGGCAGCAGCTCCCCGTCCCACTCAGGCATGCACTTGATGGGAGGGGAGCAAAGAAGGATGGCCTGCAAAATTGTTTTGATTCTGAGCCTGTTCACCAAAGGACTCACCCTGTAGTCAGATTTTATCCAGTCTAGCGGTGCATTTTGCTTTCTTCAGCCGCTGCTCTCAGTTGGACTTTACCCCTCATTTCTGATTGTTTGAAATACAATGCAAACCAACCAAAACACATCCATCAAGCCCATTAGTATTAGAAAGGAAAAATGTTATTACCTGGAATAGTCCCCTTTAGCTTCCTACAATTGAAAAACAGTGACAGAATTAAAACATGATCTCTTCAAAAGTCCTCTATTTTCCCAGTATTGTTTGCTTCCCCACTCCCACAGCTTTTTGGCTGGATCCCGACCTCAGCCACATTCACACAGAGCCCAGAGGCTGCCTGCATGCAGCACTCAGGAACAGAGCTTGGCCCTTCATGCTTCCAGCTGTAGATTATCCACCTACACCGTAAATAAAATGTGCTTCTACAAGCGGGATGAATTTCAAGATCCACATCCAGTGTCATTTCTGCTGCCCAATAAGTGAAATACAGTTCTCTCTCTGATTGTCCAAGCTGAAGGTCAGCTCTAAGAGCAGGTCAGACTTTTGGGAGAAATTGTGCTCTTGGAAGCAGCTCAAGCAGATCAGCTTTGCTGAGCATTTCATAATGGGGGTAGGAGTTGAGCAGGGAGGACGAACATTTAAAAGGTAGATATTTATTTCACAGGAAGTGGTAAATAACCAAACTTGAAGTCTGAGGACAGCACAGTGAAGAGGAAAAAAATAATATGAAGTAACAAAGGTATAAAACATATGCTCTGAAAACTTCAAACATAGCACAGCAAACTTCAGCTGCAGTACTATGCTCTTCTCAGATATCCAGCATATATTTAAATTAGAAGATTAAGTGATAAATTGGATGTAAATCTGCCAAAATAGATTACTTTCCTTGATGAGCTTTTCCTTTTCCATTCTCTCCACCAAGTTAAAACTGCTCAGATGCCTATTTCTTTCACTAGCCTACAAAGAAAATAACAACTCCAGAGACTACAAACAACAAACGCTACATGATTTTGTCCTCGTGGCGTGGAGGAAAATGCAGGAAAATAAACCCGGCAAGGCAGCACACAGCTGAACTAACAAGTCAGGGGGCTGCCCCGTGCCAAAGCAGCGCCGATACCAGAAAGTCACCACGCACCAACACGCAAAGAGCAGCTTACCTGCAGGACCAGGGCTGCCAACTTGAAGACCGTCTCACTTTCGACTTCGATCTGCCCCTGTGCAGGGAAAGAGCAGAAGGTGAGCGCTGGGAGCCGTCCTGTCCCCACAGAGCACAGCGGAGTGCCGGTCCTGCCTGGCTGCCAGCACAGCTGGGTGGGAGCCCGACTCTGTCCCAGCCCTCCACCCGCCACTCCCGCCTGGGAAGCGTTTCTCCTCCTTTCGTGAGCACTCTGTGTGTACACAGACACACGCAGTCCGTTTCCACCTCCCCCCGGCTCCTCTCCCACCCCCTTTTTTCTTAACATCGCACGTTGTCTTTCTGAAGCTTTGTCACATTGCACACACCCAGGCAGGTACCTGATCCCGCACGCTTCGAAACACACTACAAACTTGCCATGAACCAGGGAAAGGAGGGTGAACCAGAGGAATTTATGGCTTTAAGCATGCCATTTCCCTGGGGCAGAGACCTCAGCTCTTCGCTTTGATGGTGGTACGCACACCCATGATGCTAGATAAATGATAGTTATTAATCGCAAGGTGAGTATAACTAATTTTCTTTTACCACACACAGCCTGGAGATCTGACAGTTCCTGCAAATACACATGCAATGCTCAAAGAGACTCCATGGACTTCTACCCTCCAAATCTCCATTCTTGACCCCCCTCCAATATCAGGCAGACTCCTGTCCTGAAAGTCAGTGACTTCAAAGCTGCAGTTGACAATAAATGCTAAAAATCAAAACCACACCAAGATCTTTTTTTCTTTCTTTCTTTTCTTTTTTTTTTTTTTTTCCTTTTGCTTGCAACCTTCAGTGCAGTCTTCCCAAGACAGTGTTTTACAAGGAGAAATCATTTTGGTTCCATAGCGGGACCAGCAGTAAGACTGGAAGAGTCATGAACCTGCGTGTCAACTCTCAGGTGGTCAAAGCCACTCTTGATACCTACTGCAAACTACATGTAAAGGACAAAACTTCCCCCAGGAGCCATCCCTTGAATTTTCGTGCAAAGATTTGTTCTTGTTAACCATTTGCAAGAGAAGACAGTGGACACAATGTCCCGTTCCACCGAGACCTCAGCACATTCTCCTGTCCCCAGAATTCAAAGGCTGAATGAGGGACAAAGCTGAAATAGTGCCCAAACCATTGCAGCAGGAAGATCTACAGACTTACACAGATACAGAGAAATGACATCTCTAAACATACGGGGCACATCTGGAACTTGGGCTAATTTATCACAGCTGCAGGTCTGGCCCACAGAGACTGAATTCAGAAGTGAACAAACAAATAATTCAATTTTCATGGAAAGGAAGCTTTTTGCCAGCTTTGTCAATAAAACATTCCAGCAGCAGCGCTCCCCCGGGCGGCTCCACCAGGGCAGACTGGGAGGAATTTCCCCTTCCCAACAGGTGTGGCAACAGCTATGCAGAAGTGGCCTCCAAAGCATTCCCAGACATTTCATTAGAAGAGGAGGGGCACATCACAAAGTAGAAAGGAAAAAAAGCTTCAGATTCTTCCTTCCTTCCCTCAGATCTCTTTAATGTTGATGCTTGAGAGAAAAGGCAAGGTTTGAAGCCCCATCTTCATGTAGGTGCAATTTTAAGGCACTTTGTTACTTCCAGGTCTGCATCAGGTTAGTCTTTGTCATGCACATCTGTGCTGCCTTCTCTAGCTTAAATTATATCTGCTCCAACAGCCTCTGAATATCTCCATGGCAGGAGGAGGGGACATCAGGTCATCCCAGCACCAGCACATGGGGAACTCAGACATGAGGAAAGTCATCACCCAGAAAGCTCTGCTGAGCAGGAAAGACAAGCTCTATTTCAGCAAAGCTGTTTCTGGACCACAAAATCAGGGAAAACAGGGCCAGAAGGGTCCTTAAAAGCTCAGCAAGGTCACCTCCCTACCCTGGGGCAGAATCAGCTACATGGGGCTCATTGCCTTCATGCTACAAATTCATGGAGAGACTTAACTATCCAAACGCAATTCTCACATCAAAGGCTCTCTCTCTTTGTTGCAGGCTCCAAGGAAAACTCTGCAGCATTTGGATGAGTCACTTCAGCATTAAGTCCCTGCTGACCCACAGCAATAGGTGCTGCTGGCATCACAACACTGTTTGGGACTTAATAACCCAACACCCCTTCACTTTTTATCTTCAAAGCACATCCTGAACATCAACTAATTAGCAATAGTAATTATGGGACTGCTCTTATGTGTTGATTTACTCAGTCCTAAATACAAGCTTTAGGAAGCTCTGGTCACTTCAGCAGGCTGCTATGGCATTTTGATGAACGCTGAAAGTGAACTCATAAACCACCTCATTTAGGGATTTAATGGGCTGAATGGGACTGCCTTCTTCAGGAGTTTCAGTCTTTGCTTTCCTGGTGAGGCTTTTGCAGTGATGATGCCCTTGCTTACAGGTGCATTGGCAGCTGTGTTCAGGTACGAGCAGGTAAGAAGATGCTCCCTGGCCTGATTTTCACAGGGACTAAAGTCAAACAAAAGATGGACACAGAGGTGAAGGTACCACCTGAGGTCAGGCTGTAGTTAAGCAACAGGGAGGGAATTTTAAGCAAAGGATTCCACCAAAGCCCAGCACAGTCTTTATCTAACAGAGTAAAGCTGCATAAATGTCAGTCTCTTGGACAATTCTCTTTAAGTCTGAAATTATTTTCCATCATAATATAACATTATTTGCCATCTGGTTCAACAATTGACCATTGCTGTAATATTGTCCAGCCCTGGGCTGTCAAGGTGTTGGGACAGCCTTTGACTGGATGCAAATCCATATTGCAGTACATATCACTCAAACAGGAGCGTAGGACCAGGGCTCTCTCCACTCTCAGACAATACTTCAATTTAGTAACAATCCTTCTGCCCCAAGGCTGGTGAGCAGGGGTCTCTGTTTTAGCATTGCTTTAACAGCAAAGTCCAACTTCAAAAATGGAAGGGGAAGATTGGCTGTAAGAAAGCTTCATTTGCAAAACTTGCAATTGGCAGGGTAATTCCAGCACAGGTTTCTGTGAGTAGGCGGGGGCCCTGGGAGCCAGGTCAGCAAAGACTCTCATGGCCATGTGTTTTAGATGAAGATGGAAGGCTTTCCTAGATGTATCCCAAGTGGGAACAAGGTCACTAGCACGAGGTTAAGCAGATGCATGTAATTCAGATAATGGAATCTGAGTCTTATACCTTTTAGATGTAAATAAGTCTAAACAGAATAGAGGGTGCAGCTCCAGGGAAGGGATGAAATTGATATTTTTCCATTAGAGTTTGCATAGGGAGCAATCATTTTAACTAAGGAGACAATTTCATCCCCCTATGTGTCTCACTGAAAGCCACTGGCTTATCTAAAAACTACATTTAGTCCAGAGGATTCAGGTAGCTTTTGTCATTCTGACAAATATCAGACAGAATAAAATGCTGCAGCAGATGTCCAGAAGGAGTGACAGTGACAATACTGCAGGAACACAGAAGCACTGCAGCAACTAGCAAAGATCTGCCCCTGCCTTCAGTGTCCAGGTGCAGAACTGAGCCCCTGTTTCAGGCAGGAGCTCAAGCCCTTTCATGCACAGAAACAAACCTATAAATGTGATAAAAATTGCAAGGCTTAGCTGTGAATAGAGCAGCGCACCATCGTTAAACACAGCATCAACAAGAGTTGACTGTCAGAGATGCAAGCCTGAAACCCTGAAGAAAATACAGAATAAGAATGGCAATAGCCAGATGAGCATTCACTGTGCTAAGTAAGTCTTTAGATTCCTTAAAGCAGTTTTCAAATAAAATAAAATAAAATAAAATAAGCAACACAGGAACTGCCATCTCTAACTCTTCAGAACCAGAGCAATGAAAAGTTTCTTCTGAGCACACGTAACCTCCAGAGTTTAAAGACTGACAGCAGAAACATTTCACATGGAAATGTGAAGATTAAAATATTAAAGAACTCCTTCCCTCAAACCAACCTCTTTAAAAATTCGTATCAACCAAATACGGCCCCCAGAAAATCCACATTAGGATCAAATAGCCTCAAGACACTTACAGTATTGAAGGTAATTACCTGTGATTTCTGACAGGTGATTAAAAAAGGAGAGAAAGAAGGGGGCAATTAAAGGGAAATGAGGGAACCAAACATCTGCAGGAGCGTGTTGAGATTGAGGACAGCAATTAGCTGGGTGTGGGCTCAGCACAGGTGAACAAAGCCACACCAACTCTGTGCTCTCACCCAGCACCACCACAAATTCCCCCAGCATTCCCAGACGTGTCCCCAGAGTCCCATGGTGCAAGGCCAGGTCCCTGCAGAGGATAAAAATTCAAGGCTTTCCAGCACTTATGGTTTATTTAGGAGCACAGGCAGCAGCAAAGATGCCTGCACTGCCAGGATGGGGCCGTCGCCCACAACCTGTTGCACCACACCATCAGCAGCTCTGCAGTAAGTAGGTCAGCGAGCTCAACAACATGCTCTTTCAGAGTGGTGCTCTCGGTTACACCAAGGAGACACAATGGCAGCAAGAGAATGCCCCTCCAACTTACCTGAAAGTGATCCCTCCAGGGCCTGTTCTGATCTCAGCACTTGCACCCGTGTCCCCATCCCAGCTGCACTGCCTGTGGTTCACGATGCCCCACAGAGCACCCCATCCCCATCCCATCCCCTCCTGTAGCTCCAAACCTTGCTGGTCTCCTCAATGCATTCTTGGCAGGAGCTGTGAGGCTCAGAGGCTGTGGCCAATGCAGCCAAACAAAAGCTACGTCACCGCTGCCCTGTATCACCTCACAGCAAGCCAGAGCTTCAGGTTTCTCTGTTACACCCTTTATTTTGCTGCCCTTGCCAACCATCCGCATCTCCTTTTTCTGTGTTTTGTACCTCAGCCAAAGCTCAGATGAAGCTGCTCAGCTGCTTTGAGACTTATCTGCATAGTTCAGCACAAGGTCCCCATCGTATAATGCTGCTTCTCCCCTCTCGGGGGGGCGCCCCCCCCCCCTCACCCCAACATGAACACAGCGTAGAAGTTAAAAGCAAAGAACAGGGGAAGGACACAAATACTTCTCTATAAGCCAGGATACATGGCAAGCATCATTAGGCTTAGCATATAACCAGATTCTTTCACTTTCCTACCACAGTGTCACAGCAAGATACCCAACACATAGACACAAGAACAGGCTAAGCTGTCAAAACAGCTTCACCCTATGGCCAGAAGATCAAAAGTGCAGAACTCTGTCACAGTTAATGCTGATAGTTAGGCTCAGAGGAGATGACTGACAAGAGATGCAAGGTATGAAGCTCCGGCTGCAAACCAGCTCAACCCTCAAGTGCAATGGGCTGGGCCCAGCTACAGTTAGGACAGGAGCTACACCTCCCCACCAAAAGCCTCAACAACTTTCCAGGGCATCATTGCCATCTGCAGCAGGCAGCCTTGGGCTGACCTCCACCACCATGCAGGCCCTCAACTACACCCATCCCATGGCCAGCACCTCCCCAGGCCACCAGTGAGGCTCAGCAGGACGTGTCGTGGGGTACCACTGAGTGGGGAGCTTCCATGGAGATCTGCCAGTTGACCTGGGTGTCCCAAGAGTCAAGGACAGTCAGTCACACTGCATTCACTGACATGCCTGTGCTCCACCTTCATCTGCTGATGCACCACCGGGGGCTCAGGCCACGGAGGTGGCCACCAGCACCCACAAGAGCAGAGCACAGCCTGGAAGGCAGAAAAGCAAAGGCCAGCTGGTTCTGCTGGTCTTCACCCTGTGCCTCACACCTACCATCCTCAGGGGCAGAATGACAAACAGACAGCGTGTTTTAATAGACTTGGCTCAGATCAGACTATACAGTGTTACAAAGCTGCATTGGGAACACTCCCCTCTCCCCAGGGATAGGGTAGAATTAAGAAATATCCGTTATAAAACTTTCAAGAGCTATCTAATATACAGCCACTTTGCTCTCTCTGAGCTGAAAGCCAGCCAGACGTCATGCTCACACCAGGGGTCTGCTTCAACAGCTCTTCTCTCTTAAGCTCTGGGCTTCAGGCTGCCAAGTGCTCACAAGCATCATTGTTCATGAAGCCAGCATGGTTACAGACTCCACCAAAAACTTTCATTTCCTTTATGTTATTATTTTAAAGGCAATTCTTGTAAGTCCTTAAAACAAAAGCAAAATTAAATAAATAAATCCCCCAACACCTAAATATAGTTGGGAAAAGGGGAACACAGCCAACCTGACCCAGGATCTTTGTTTACAGAACGTATTTTAAGGACTGGCACAGAGTCAACTATATGGCTGCAGAGCTATATGGAGGTTAGCTGTAACGCACAATAAACTTGACAGTGCTTTGCTAGCCCAGCAGGTTGTAATTTTTCCAAACTTGGCTGTTTTGAACAAAAAGACTAATTTATCTTTCCAAATTTATCATCATCATGTGTGTCATCAGCTCCTACCCTCCTTGAAAGCATCCCAGCTATGGTCAGGAGTCTGTGCAATAGCACAATGAGCGTGTTACAAAGCTCTCCTACCCCCTGTGCAAACACATCAGTTCTGAGATACCCATTTCACCTGAAAGCACAGGCTAAACTTTCACTGTGTAAGCCTCCACTATGCAGAAGATTTCACAGATCACCATAAATATAAACCAGCTCTTTAAATTCACTGACAGGAAAGAAAGCATGTAAACTGAAGTTGTCACTGCTAAAGGCTTTCAGGCATAAGTTCTCAAAGCCTTGAAAACGAGAAATGTGTGTGAAAACACAGTGTCACAATGAACACAAAGTATGCTTATGGCCATTGCAAAATACACACGGTTAACCACATTTATAATTAAGTCACTGAGAGGCCCTTCCATAAACCTGGAGATCTAAGCTCTAGCAGCTCCCAGCTCCTGCTTGTGGGCTCACACTGCTCCTGGCAGCACACAGCTTCTGCGAGCTCCAATCCAAAGAGCGTCGATGTTGGAGAGCAGAGCCAGCCAGCCATACTGACCACATAGGACCCAGACAGCCATAGGATTGCAGCAGAGCAGTGAGACAACTGGCAGCTTGACATGAAAAAAGGGTAGGGCCAGAGAGCTGGCAGCATTTGTTGTCCAGGCTGGAGTCCAAGCTGTATGCACCCACTAGTGATGAGGAAACACCAAGCGTTCTTACAAGCAGAACAGCAAATGTTGCATTCAGTTCACGTGCAATGACAAACAGGGAGAGCATGGCCAGCAAACCCTGAGTGTGTTGGCAAATCTAACAGAAGAAGTTTATTTTCCAGGTGCATAAAGCAGTTTTGCATTACACTGCACAACGTGTACCAGAAGGAAAATGTTGTTGTTGCAGTGGTGGACTGAGATAAGAGCAGTGGAAAGGAGCAGCTCAGTGCAGCAGCAATTCTGGGTGCAGACCTCCAGCACTGGTAGAACACAACTCACAGAAGCAAGAGTGAAACCTCAGTTCTCATTGCCTGGGGACAAGGGGGTCCCCTCTGGCTGCCCAGCTGCTCGCAGGGGATGAACACAAGGTAAACAGGACATGTAGAGAAAGATACAGGTCATGCAGGATGCACCACCCTGGCACGTGGCAAAGGGCAGAGGCACAAGGGAGCTTTGACAGACAAACGTGGAGGTGGTGAGTGGGTGAGGAGTAGAAAGAAATACATTTTTGGCAGCAGAAATCTTACTGTCTGCCTTGTTTTTCCCTTGCCAAAATGACTATGGAATTTGCAAAATAGGCAAACCTCTAATTCTTCAAACCCTTGTTAGGGCAACCTGGCATCCAATTTGCAGAAAGGGGCAAAAAGGATTGCAGGAATTTGGAGCTGAGAGGCAAAGAAGGACAAGAGAGCAGCTATTATACCCCATGCAGAACAACAGAAGTTTCAAGAAAAGAAACAGGTTAGGAAGCCAAGCCTGAAGTTTACCATATGGGGTAAAAAGTTTTGAAAAGAATCTAATGTGAAGGTTAAAAGCTACCGAACCAAACAAACACTGAAAGTAAATGAACTTTAAGTAAACAGCTTCAGTCTTGCCTATGTTTCCACCCACTCTGCTGAGTTCCCATTGCCACATATCGCTCCCTTTGCATAACCAACACGGGCCATTTTGGTTCAATGCATTCCACATAAGTAAGGTGTCAGTCAGAGCACTGCCAGCTCTCAGTGAACATGGTGGCATGAATTGAATGACTCTCCATTGGCTTAATGACACATCTATGATCAGTGATGGTGTTTTTCACACCTCCCTTCTCTCTGCTCCCTTCCTCTCATGCTTTATGCAGCTACATAAATGCACATACAGGCATCAAAATACATAACCAGTGTTTACTTCAACAGCAGACTGCTTCTGGAGGTGGTGGCACCTTCCCCATCGCAGGAAGAAAATCAGCCCCACTTCCCACTTCCAAGTTTTTTGCCTTGTCTGAACTGCTCCAGTATTCCCTGAAAGGATTGCTGCAAGTTGCCAAGACCTTTCACTGGAAATGGCAAATAAGCCAAAGGGAGATTTGGTTTTTATTAAACTTAAGCAGAGAGGCCTCAAGTTCTTCAAACGTTTATTTCAGTTTGAAGGTTTTGTGAAAAGGTGCAAGTTTCTTTCACTCTTCCAGAAAGCAATTCTTGTGCAACCCACGGCCACAACTTTGACATTAATTGCTTTTCAAGTAAGCTTTCTGATCCCACCAGTGAAATAATGAATATTGTATACAGTGAGACTCTTCCAAAATATGAAATGTATTAAAGGTGAAAAATCTGGCCTGCTATTCTAAGCTTCAACACCAGCTAACAATAAACACTTGTTTTCCAAGAAGAACCAAGTGACCCTCTCAGGCAGATTAATCCATGAGTATAAAACACCCTGATACTCAAGTTTGATATTAACTAGGCTTTGCTGGAGTAAAGTTCATTGAACCTTGGCTGCTGCTGCTCCTCTGGTTATTAGGGTCACAATTAGGCTGCCATACTGCCCTTTTTTTTTTTCTTTCCCAGAACAAGATGAACCTGCGGCAGATAAATTTTACTTTTATGATACAATATGTATATATACATTAATGTACCATATTATGTATTGCGTATATATGGTATGAATAACAAATTTAAACATTTAACAAAAACAGTAGAAGATTTGTAACCAGAGTAAACACAAGAAGCACTGTAATAACTGGCTTTGATTGTGAATTGATGGGATTTGTGACTTTATGAAGGGAATTAAGGCATGAAATCAGGGCACTAAGAACCACATTCACAGCATAAGACTTTCATCACCTTCCCCAGTGCGTACTATGTAGCACACAAAGATATGTCACTCTGAGACGGAGTCTACCCAGAAAGCTACAACCCAGATTTCAAATGACTTAAAGCCTTTTTGGTATTTAAGATATTTCAGTGTCATTTGCACACAAAAGGGCTGTGAAATCATGACCAGGAAGCCATCATCATCCTTACCCAGAGGGTCTGTGGAAGGGATGTAGGGAGGAGTAATGAGGAATGGACAACGCAGAGCTGCAAAGGACACTGAGCCTTACCTTGTGTACACAGGACTTGGCATTCAGGAAGAACAGCTCTACTGTTGTTTTATCCTTGAGGAAGGAGATGCTTTCAATGTAGAACCTGATAATTAAAAAAAAAAAAAAAAAAAAAAAAAAAGTTACTTTCCTGTATAGGCTTCATCTTCCTCTCAAATCATTCCTTGGCATTTTGTTCTCCAGCAATAAAGTGGTACAGAGGAACTACAACCACTGAGCTTCGTTTCCTGCCTAGTAAGAGGGAACAAGCAGAAAATCATGGACCAAGAGCATGCAGGGCACAATTCCTTTCATTCAATAGGTCATAGACATCTGATGACTTCTCATCTCAAGGTTTAAAGGAGCAAACCTCACTACCAAAGGAAGCAAGTCCATGGCTGGTTATGCTAGCCCAGCCAAGGTTAGCAGATGTGGTTTGTTATACAACATTATGTATGCAGCTGGCACTCTGCAGAATCACACACAACTTGTCTGTGTGCTTCTCTGACTCACGGGACATCAAAGTAGGCAGTGCTGAGATGCACTGAAAGGTGCAGAGAAAACACGTCTCTAATTTCAAGAGCACAGAACTGCCAAGTCAGTTCAAAGAGATGAGTTTGTGTGAACGTGGTCCTGTTAATCTTCCTTTAGCTGGATACCTGTGCTTCATTATCGAAAGCCAACTCCTTACAGATTGGATCCAGGCTCTCCCACTTGATGCTAGACAGAGAGCACAGTTTTTTCAGCCAAACAAAGGGCTGGGGCAACCACCACTACCACCCTGGCAATGCAGATCCCACCATTGCCTTTGGCAGCAGGAGGGCTGGGTGGCTCATACAGCCTGCTCTGTGTAGCCCAGAGGCTGTCCATAGCCTCCTGCTCTGCCCATTGATCTCTTTGTATGGAATATCTCTGTAGGATGAGGAGATAATATGCTCATTTCACACTCATGCAGCTTTGGGACAGACCCAGAAGCCTACCCCAGACATCTCCAAGGGGCTTTTCTGTGATTCACCTTTCACTGAGAAGAGCCATGGGTATTGCTATATCCTTTCATGATCACACCAAGTACCATTTTAGTAGCTCTCCTAAACCTCACTTCAGATACAGTCATGTTTCTCTCCAGAAATGAAGAGCATTAGCATGCAAGAACCTCTGCTCGTCCTTGCCCAGCATGCTGCCAGACCAACATTAGAGGCTAGTGCTTTATCCCAATAAAGCTTCCCTCCAGCCTGCTGAAAAGGGAAATTTATTCAACTAATGGCCTCATTTGCACTTGCAGTTTCTTTCAGCTAGGGACACCAGACATAGCTTATAGTTACCCTGTAGCAGGAGACTGTAGGAGCCATTGGTCTGAGGAGGGCACTCCTGGACAGGCAATATCCCTACTCTGAGCAGACTTGGGCACTTCATCTCTTCCGTACAGCACAAGCTGTATACTCATCACTGCAGTACAGATGGGGAACACCAGGCCACAGAGATAAGGATGTTTGAGAGATGTGAGGGATGACAGTCATGTTTGGAAATGCAATAAAGTGTTGTTTTATTTCTGATGCTGTCAGCATCCTTGAAACTGGAAAGATGCTTTTGTAAGTCCTAAATCTGCATTATACAACCCTTTGGCAGCTGTGTGTATCACAAGAAAATTTACATGACTGGCTTGAGTTCATGTTAACTGAAGAAAAATAATTAAAACCTGAAATAATTTACCGTGTGTTTCATTAGTGAATGGCAACAGCCCAGGGCGCAGGAGCTATGAAGCAAAGGAGAGGTATAACCAAGCACCTGGAGATGCCCCACATTCCCAGTGCTGCTGCTGGAAACTGCCTAGTGCTGCACGTTAATGAAGGACAGCTCAGGAGGGCTCTGGGTGCCTTTCTCCATCTCCAACAGAAAATGGGCATCAGTTCCCCCACTCAAACATGTGCCACTCAACCGGCCCTGCTGTGCTTTCCATGCCAGCCTCCAACTGTGCAGTTCAGCTGCTCTCAGGAGAGTTTAATTAAAGAACAGACTATGGCAAGGCAAATGTGTTTGCATGTGATAAGTGTCTGAACCAACCACCCAAGGCATATGCCATCCAACAAATGCCTGGAGTCATTCACTTATCCAAAAGGTTGTGACAAAATAGTGCTGTAGATTTTGAAGAGACATTTCAGATGGAATATATATATATATATTTACCATGAGATAGTTTTTACATTGTTAATTATCCTTCTGCTCCTCACAGACTTCCCATCCACTGCCCACTTCCATGGTCTTAATTTCTTCTTTTAAATCTCATGACCCCCGAGCAGTCAAGGCTTAAGACTCTAGAAGTTGATCTTCCCAAAGCCCATTCTTCATCCATCAACTCTTGCTCAGGTTTCTGCATATCCTGTCCTACAGAAGATCACCTCGCAACAGGATGGGTAAAAATGAATATCTCAAGCCAACAGCATTAACTCCAGCCACAGTTGCTCAAGTTATGTGACTGTCTTCATGGCTTTCCTGTGCTCCACTCCTGAGAGAGTCTGGCAGACAGTTTAAGCCCTGGCAACAGTCACAGGAGTCAAGACCATTGCTACCTTCTGAGAAGATCCTCAGACCAGCCCCAGTCCTTCAATCTCCCAGTGTATTATCACATGTAAGGAGTCACAGATTTTAGTCCTCTAGGTCCTCTGTGAGCATTTAAGAGCTCATTATACATGAATATTCATTACTATCAGAAGTTGGACTCAATGGCTCTTACAGGTCTCTTCCAACTCAGGTGGTCCTATGCGGAGCCAAGAGTTGGACTCAATCTTCATGGGTCCCTTCCAACTCAGGTGACTCTATAATTCTATAATTCCTTTTTAAACGTTTTGTGCCTTTTTTTTTCCCCCTCTTTTTTTTTTTTTTTTTTTTGTTAAGAGAGAAAAAAAGAGCTCCATCACAAATCAGCACATATTCAGCAAAAACAAAGTGCCATTTGTTTGAACCATCCCTGCAGTATCTGGGGTGCAGAGGAGCTGGCGGGGTGACGACGCCAACTTACCCAACTGCACAACAGGCTGCGCTGTGGAAACGCTGCAAATAATTAAGCACACAAAGGCCAAAATCTTGATATGAAAAGTGAATGAGGTCAGTCTGCCCTCATTTTCCTCACAGACTGTAAGGAAGACAAAAATAAGAACTCCAACAATACTAAGAATACGATGCTTGGTCTTTTCTGCCAGCACAGCTCTGTCTGTAATGGGCCTGAAAAAACTGCATCCTAATCAGTAGAGCTTTGCTAGCAAAAACCCTGAAGTAATGCAATTACTTTGGCCAAAATCATCACTTCGCTAGGATTTTAGTCTCTCCTGGGCACAGGTTTAAGCTGTGTGAGCAAAGAAGTCAGCAGCAATCCCTTTCAAGTACTGACAAACCTTAAGTAAACATGAGAACAACTATAGTTGTTTAAATAAACTATCAAAATATAGCACTATTAAAGACAAGTTGGGCAAAAAAAAAAAAAAAAAAAAGATTTAAAATTGGGAGATTTAAGGATTTAAAATTATTCTTAAATAAGAAAAGGAAGAACAATGTGCTGATAACAGTTTAAAAAGCAGCAGGTTCCAAATTACCTTATGTTGCAGGTAAACAGAAAAGAAAGCAGCACTCAGCCAGGACTTAACCACCTTCTAAAAATAACGTATCACTTTGACATTTACATCCTTTATCAAATCAGTAATTCTTTTAAACAAAAATCATGGTGATAAATGAGCCAAGTGGGCACTGTTTTCTCCACAGAAGAATTACTCACCTAACAGCAAAATACAGCATTGCTGGGCCTGGTTTCTTGGGCAAGTCATGATCCAAGACTCTGTGGTCCAGCTGCAGCCAGACACTCTGACCTCTGCAGGAACAGATTGGGGAGATGGTTAAAACTGGGAAGAAACATGGGTTTTTCAGTGTTTTTACTCCAATGTGAGTCCTTTTTAGAATAGCAAAAGTCAGCTCTGATGCAGGTAAGCAGTTCATCACCTTTTCCTCGCTCTCTAATTTTAGGATGTTGACATAGTTTGCTTTTGGACACTCGGGAACACCAGCTACAGCTTCACACATGACCCCATCTCAGAGCTGAGGGCTTCACATAGGAACTCATTAATGAGGCAGCTGAAACAGCGCTCTGCATCACAGCCTCCCTAAGTGAAACTAGAAATGAACCAGAAAAATAAAATAAAATAAAAAACCCCTCAGCCCCTGTAACTTTCCCCAGGATGTGGGGGTCAGGGCAGCCTAGGAGTCAACTGCTGCCCCACAGCACTGGGACTGGCCAGCCATGGAGCATGGGTGCCCTCCAGAGGCCACAGTGAGCACCCAGGCTCAGTTTGGAGCACCCAAGGGAGTTCCTGGGGCCCCATGGATAGTTTTGGGGCTTTTAAGTAATCCCCTGGGCAGCACTTTACCAGCACCTATAATACTCCAGAAATTCATGTCATCTCTTCTTGGGGAAAAAAGCCAAGTGTCAACAGCACTCTTGAGGGATTTTATAGGTGAGCTGAAAGAAGGCACCTTCCAACAGTCAGGATTGTAGCAAAAAGATTCAAGATGAGAGCAACTTAAAAATAATACACTGGTGCTGAAAGGGTTCCACAGGCAAGCAGCTCCTACCAGCTCCTGTGAGACACAGAAGCCAGTCCTGCACCTGCGATGGGAGCTACCACATGGGAAATGTCATAATCCATTTTTTCTTTAACACAAATTACTATACTTACGTATCATCTATAAATGTTATCCCAAAGTACTCCTTTTCTTTCAGGTTGAAGTGCGAGGCCACCAGATCCAGCAACTCTCGAGACAGAAGCTTGGGCTGTTGAAAGAACCAACACCACTCAGTTCATTTCAGTTCAGACTTCTCAATGATAATGAAAATTTCCACTGGAAGCATCATGCCCAAGTGGAAAAAAACAGGTCTGAGGACGGGCTTGCATGCCTAAAAGCATATTTGTTAATTTTACCTCTATTGGCAGCTATAGTAAGAGATATAACTTCTTCAAATATCTCTTACAACTTCAGCCCCAAATTGCACTTCTTAAACTACCAAGCAGGGAAATCTGGCTGCAACTACAAAACAAGCATTTATTTTTAATCAACTAAGGGACAAATCAGAACTACACAGGGGAAGGTAACAAAGTACTTTGGAGCTCTAATACAACTTTTTCAGTGGGTTTATTGCATGGTTTAAGACTTTCCAATGGTCAATTCTTTGGTGCCATTCCCAGCACAGGTACACAGGGCATTACTGGAGCAGAATGAAAATGGGTCAGCACTTGGCCCAGCCATACTATACCAGTGCCCAAACCAGAAGGCTCTTTACCTGAACCAGCAGCTCCAAGTTCCTGTCATCGAGGAGATGCACCTGGCAGTGCCGGCCCTCTGTCATCTGCAAAGACACCAACATAGCACAGTCAGAACAAGAGGATCCTGGCTCATAGTACAGCCAGAGGTGGTGGCAATAGCTTCCTGCACTTCTGATAAGTGGGGATGACCAGGGACCAAAAAAAAACCTCCAAAACCAAAAAAAATCTATGCAATGCTGCAAACAAAAGTAGGCCTGCTGCCCAGGACCTGGTCTCCATCCTGGATGGGTTCCCACTGGACAGTGTGTGTGCATGTATCAAGAGTTGTTCAAACTGCACGATTAAGAATGGAATCAGACTGCCTCAGTTCCTAGTCTGCATCACATTTATCTACTGCAAGCAATCTCTCCTCTTCTCATAAGACCTCAGAAATAGCTGCACGTTATTATGCCCTTTTAATATCTGCCCTTTGAAATTCAATACATTTTCATAAAGCTTTTACATTATTTAAACTCTGCTTTAATTCTGGGCTCCTGGCAGTGCAGGCAGAGGGCTGGCAGCACAGCTCTGAGGCAAAAGATGGTGGAGAGAACCTGGATTTGGACATCTCACCACCTCAGAACAACTCATGAACCTGACAGCACTGGTTTCTCTCTAACTCCATTTTGAGCTCTGAGCAGAAAGTTGCTCACAGGGGCTCCCAGAGAGACAGAGGGCAGCACACACCCCCCTCCATGGGGACAAGGACAGAAGATATACTGCTACACACTCAAAGACTCAAAAATGAATAAAAGTGGATCCTTCCTTCAGCCACTTCCAGTACAAGTGAACAAACCTCATCTCCTCCCAGTACTGCCCTGTTTCAGGGCTGCAGCACTGCCTCTGTCAGGAACAGCCAGCCCCTCTCGGCCAAATTAACAAAGGTTTACTGTTTGAACTAATTGAGTTCCTTTGGAGCAAAACCCACGAGAGAGCTCCTTTCTGAGCAGCTTGGCAAGAAGACTGGGGGTGAACAATGCCAAGCACAGCTGTCATATGTGGAAAACCAGAGATAGAGTACCTGCAGCACCAGCATTCTAAGATTACTGAAAATATAGATTTGTGTAATGACATGTATCACATTTCTCACCAAAACAGCAATAATGGTGGAAGGATCATTAGCAGAGCAAGTCTAGCCCAAGAAACAAATCAAACAGTCAGAAAACAGTTTCCATTTCTTGTACTAGAGTAAATGTGAACTTGCACGCAAGCACCAGGTGAAAAGGGACCTCAGTCCCCATGGGAACATCAATGACCATCTCTATGCAAACCACAGCCACATCCCTGCAAAGGCTTCCAGCCTCCTCCCCCCACGTTTTGGAACAAGGCTGCAGCATCCCAGTGCAGGCTCCCAGCACCTGATGCGTCTGCTGAGCATTGTATGCTGCCCTTTAATCCATTACAATCCCATCACAGGTCCATATGTGTTACCTGGAGCTGAGGGCCCGCCTCTGTGTGTGCATAAACAAGCCACACACTCCCACCAATTAAGCACTTCATCAGTGCACCCTTCAAGGTGGTGCATTTCTGGCTCCTGCACACTGTTACCAATCTGCCCCTGGTGTGAGGTGTCAGATCCAATGCTGTTTCTAAATCATACCCCATCTGTTGCTCTGAGATAGCAAAAGGGTTGCCATTATTTAATTGTTAGCTGCTTTAGCTTTCACCCAGTGCAGTTGCATTAATCACTTCTGACTGTTTTAATTGCCTCAGTTGTCTATTGTTGAGTAAAAAGGTTTCTGGTATCGCAAACACATACACAAAGCCTTGTGCTGAGCAGAGAGGAAGGCTGTTGGTGAGACTAAAACATCAAAGATGTACCAACCATAACCCGGGTTCTATTCAGCTACCCAAGGTGATCATAATAGTCCTTAAAAGTAATTGAACTTCATGGCACTATTAAAGATAGGTGAGATATAATTATCCCCGGTTTTATTGATGAGTCAACATAAAGACATGGTTGAGGAGTGATTTTCAGAAGGGCTGAGTACCCACAGTCATACTGTGGTTGGGAGGAGTGGCTGCAGATGCTCCAAGGATGCTGGACTCACAAGGAGCCAGAGCCAGCCCTGCCTGCAGCACAGCTTCTGCTGCACGAGTGCAGCTGGGGAAAGTCTGCTAGAAGGGCATCCCTGCTCCTCAGTTCCTCAGCAGGGCTCACCAAAGAAGACCAAACATCAGCCCCCAGCTCCAATCACAGACCCACAGCTCCAGCACCCCACTACTCGCTGCTCAGCAGGTGCTGGGTTCCCCCTTGCCCAATTCCCAGCTCCTTGTGAGCTCCTCATGGTCACACTTTCATCTTCAATTCAATGTGCCTGGCTAATCTGAACAATATAATTGATTTTCTATTTAGCTGGACTGTTCAGTCATGAGATGAGCACAGCTGTCCGGCTCAGCTAAGAGGCAGCAAATGCACTCCTGAGATATATATAGACTCACATCTGTGTTTTCAGCTCATTCCCATTGATTTTGCATTGTCTGTGCAAATGAACAATTTTGTTATTTTTGCAGCATGCACCCAAGTTGGCCTTTTCAGCAGTTATTTTTTAAAAGGATGCTAATATTTAAGCTATTATCCAGTGAAGAAGGAAGCAGTGTAACATTTATTAAGAATCCCCATCCCATTCCCAATAGGAAACCAGCAGAACAATGCAACACAAACGTCTCACCATTACATTAGCAAAACTGTATCAAAATGCTGGATTCTTCTTCTTTCCCAATGTCACCCCTATGCTTAGTGCACAAGCAACTGAAAAATGAAAAAAAAAAAAAATGCAGAGGAATTGAAAGGAGAGGGAAAAACCCCATTGAGTGCAGTACTTTCGTATCACTGCATCCCTGCAGTCCTCCAAACTCACAAGTGACATTGGGCTCTCAGCAACCCAAGAACCACCAAGGTTGGAAAAGACCTTTAAGATCATCCAAGTCCAACTGTCCGCCTCATCTATGCACATCTCCAATGAAGGAGAAGGAACAACTCTCAGAATGTGCATGGAAATTAAGCACAGAGTAAAAACAATTCTCTGCAGTGGGTTGAAACATTGAGAAAGGTTTAATACAGCTGTTTCTTCACATGGCTGGGAGCTTTGGCCTGAAGAAGTCCTGAAATCAGACAGTAATCTTATTTGGGTTTATATTCCTTTAATACTGCCTGCTGAGCAGAATTCTGTGAAAAGAGAAGAAAAATACATTTTCTCCGCCACCTCACTTTTGAGGAAAATTAAGGCAAATTCTTCATGGAAAGTCAAGGAAGCAAGACTTTCCAAAACCTCAGTCCTCTAACAAGGAAAAAAAAAAAACTGTATAAAATAAGGCAGAGAGAAAAAACTTTTTCTTGGTTATTTAAACCAATACCTTGTAATATCCTGAGTCCAAATGTTTATTTGAGAAAGAAAACCTGCAGGATATTTATGCTGCTTCTCTTCAGCACTCACTTCCTCCTTGTCTGAAGCCAGTGGTTACTTGCAGTATTTTTAGACACATGTGTCATTGAGTTTGGAAAAAATAAAAACAAAAAGGAAAAAAGTAGTAATTAGGGCATAAACAGGAAATCTCCAAAAAACAAAACACATAGGCAAAAAAAAAAAAATTACTCCTCCCCTGAAGAGCAGCCCAACAAAGCTTTCCTCTTCCTCATGAGAAATCCCTGGTACTGGGGTTGCAGGGCCAAGGGGCCCTCCAAAATCTCAATGCCTGTCTCTTCGAGCAGAGCCTCAAGGCACAGCACAGGTGTGAGCCCAGGGCAGAGCAAGGATTGCACTCAAAAGAGGATTTCAACCCCAAATCCCCACTGGAGCTGCAGTTAACCAGCTATAAAGCTACACCAGTAATTTCCTGTAAGGGCGTTTTTTCCCAAATCTCTCTTCTGTAACCCATAAGGCCGTAACAGATTTCAAAGCCTGCTATTGAAGCCCCTACACTGACCTCGAGTTTTCATCAGCTTTTAGGGCTTGTTTTTTCCTTCAGTCATGAAGGCATTTCGGATCCAATCCTCAGCTGCCTTAAATCAGCGCTGCTTCACTGCCTCGATCCCAGCAGCCAGCTTATGCCTGCAAATGTGCTCTGCCTGGGAAAATAGGGAATGTGACACCAGAACGTGTTGCAATAAGGAGCTGCCCCAATCAGGTGCATCTCAGGGAAATAAAAGCAAAAGGCTTTCCCTCTGGGAGGAATGGACTACGTGCTGGTGAGAGGGGAAAAGTGATAATTCCACGTTTTGGTTGGTACATCTTTGATGTTTTAGTCTCACTAGCAACCTTCCTCTCTGCTCAGAGCTTTTTTGGGTGTCTGTTGGGAGAGCAAACCTTGCCATGGTCCAGCACTTGGGGTTATACAAAGCTTGAAGGAAAAAAGAGAAATAAGAAACAAAAGTTGGGTTTGATACCAATATTTCTACAAAGGCCTTTTAAAAGATCCACAAAGGTCTCAAGAAAAATGCCTGACGTACCTCTTTGCAGCCCATGGGTCCCCCAAGCCCATAGCACTGGTGGGCACAGATAGGCTAAGAAGCAACACGTGCCGTCCCACTGCTGCCCTGCTCACTCGAACAGGGCCAAGATTTTGCCTTAAATCATTTCTAATCCTGCTGTTAACCTTAAAAGAAACCAGGGTCTGCCTTATTTTAAACAGCCATCAGTGCATGAGGGCAGCTGGCTGCATCCTCCACTCTCCGTGCTGCAAGACAGACCCCTCAGGACCAGTCCCATTCTGCCAGCAGGACCCCAAGTGCTGTACCCTCTCTCCTTAGAGCTGAGGACCTCCTTGTGCCTCTTGTCCCAGCAGACAGAGACCTGCAGGAGACTTGTCCTTGAATATAGCATGCACTGAAGCCATGCTTACGTTGGGACAGGCTGAGACTACTCACTTCAGTGCACACTGGTATTGATGCCCCTTGGATGATGTTCTCCAAGGAAATCTTGGCTCTGCTGAAAGTTTGGCAAAGGGTTCGAGGTAAAACACACTGCCTGGAACCAGAGCATAAAGGATTTCTAGATTGCATGGCACCTTCCTAAAATAGTCTGATGAACTGGAGATAGGAATG